GCGCACACATCTTTCCCACCTTCGTTTGCTCTGTTGCGTAAAGTTCGCTGGGCATGGCAATAAAAGCCTTGCCTCTGGGCTGTCAGCAAGAAGCGCTGAATGCTGATCCTTAAGCTTCTGCACAACGCGCAACCTTTTTCCCAATGCGCTTGTTTTCGCTTGATCAAGCACGTCTTTGCATTTGGTGTGCTCGAGCAGCCTTGGATGCTGCGCAGCATCCTCACCCTCACAACTCAGCTGACGTATAGGCGTAGCAGATGCACCACCAAGCGCGTCAGCCACAGTCTCAGCGCAGGGGTCGCAGTAAGTTGCGGAACCCACCAGTTGCAAGTGCCTGAAGCAAAACCAATGTTGGCATTGGTCGCATAACATGCAACCCCCAGCGGCCAGCCTGCTCGTGTACATGCAGGACTGGCACTTGATAACGCAGTCTTGTTCAAGTTTACTTGGCAAAGGTTTGAGAACGAAATCATGGTGTCCCGCGCTCGGCAGGGCGAAGATTCGCACAAAAAAGGTTGAGTGAGAGCGGGGACCAGGATGCGTGCCAGGCCGCAGCTGCAATTTCGGTTGCAAGCATCCATCGAGCCAAACTGCCAGCCTGGTCTCTGACCAAATAACTTTGACATGGTGAGCTGCTGCTGCGCTAAGCTGCGGGCCCCGCCGGCACAGCACCGGCAAAAGCTGCTGGCCGGTTAAGCCATACGCCAAGGTCATATCAGTCTCATGGAAGGGGTACTGCAGTCTGCAGTACATGGACTGAAAGATGCCGGTTCGCGCATGCGTGGCGCGCGCCCCCATGATTAAAGAAATAGCCGTAGCCGGCTGCTTGAAAGTGATTGTAAATTCGGCATGCCCAAAGAGGGGGCGCGATGATTCCCAAAGATAGCTTACATGGGTATTGAGAATATCTCTTCCTTCCAAAAACTCTAAGCTCCAGTCAATTCTCATGTTCTGGAACAATTGCGGAATCTTGGAAAGCCGTCCAGCAGGAAAAATCACTGCCTCAGCTCTGGACCACAAGCGCAGCAGCCGAACGAACCGGAGAAAATGCAACAGATTGGTGTTTGGCAGCTCCATGTGAACTACATGGCCTTGCCAAGTACTGGGATCTAGCACGGCCCGTCGGCAGCTGCGGGAGCAGGCTTGGTAGGCGCGCAGGTAGTCTGGGCATGCAAAGCAAGTTGCCAAGCGGCGCAGCACGTCCTGAGGTAGATCTGCAGCAGACACAGATGACACAGACCCTCCTGACACATCTCTGAACTTCACGCTGTCTTTCCTGCTTTGTAGCTCCCACAGACGCATAATGTCCTTCGTTTCTTGCAGCATATTGGGCACCTCGTCGATGAAAGCGTCAGGGCTATTGTCTGGGTGCACACAAACAACAAACATGCCTGCAATCTCCTTGCCGTAGTATTTCTCGAGCAAGAACTTGTAGCAGTTCAGCTGCAGGCGGTACTGATTGCCTTGATTGTCTGCAATGTGCTGCAGAGGCCGCTGCATGCGCTGTCCGCGGTCAAGGTACTTATGCCTCAGGCCAGCGCTGCGCTTCCAGTCAAACAAGAATAGCCGACCGGCGGCGTCCGCAGCACAAAAGTCGATGGTGCCCGCAATATTTTCTGCCTCACCATAAATAACCCACTCTGTTCTGTAGGCACGCAGCCCTTGCAAAGAAAGCATGAACCTCTGGAACATACGAAATTCTGGCGACTCCATAGGGACCCTGTACCCATTTATGAAGGCTTCGAACAGGTAATGGACATACGTGCCATATGCGGCAGCTTCATTGCGTTGCGCTTCCCATTTGCGCGCGATCTCAGCCGTAGTAAGAGCCAGGTTGAGAAATACATTCCTCAGATCAGGATGCCTCTGCTGCGCCTGCCGCATCATTTGGCACAGCCGTTCCTCGTTTCGCGGGCGCTGCAGGAATTCCAACACAATGTCTGGCTCCAGACTAGCCAGAACAGACAGCTCGCTTGCGAGGACATCCTCGCGCAGGTACGAAGGTCGTGGCCAGTAAGCAGACTCCTGCATTGCCTGGATCACTTCTTCCTCAACGAAGTCTTGCGCGAAATGGTGCACCATGCCAGTCACTGAACCGCGTGTGGGCACGCCTCCTATAAGGTACTTGTGTCCAGCAGCCACAAACCTGACTGCGAAGTCCCTCAGGTGTGGGTTGAGCAAAGCCAACGTCTCGGGCTGCTTTTCAGGAGCGACAAAGCCCACCGGCGAGAGAGCAGTCGTGCCAACGGGAGAATCTGACCGAATCGGCACACCACAACCATCCCAAGGTGTCCATCCAGAAACCAAGCGCCGCGCCTTTTTTGTCAGGGCTTGCGCTCTCTTCATGTTGACCAGTTCGGCAGCATATTGCGCAACATCACTGCCCCCACTGAGGTCTGTAGAGCAATCTTGCCTTGGTCCGCGTACATGAAGCAGCAACTGGTCATTCTTACTATTGTTACCATTATTGTTATTATGAGGTCAACAAGTTACTAAAACAGTATTCGTCCTGTCGCTCGTCTGTTAGTTACTTGCACGCAGCAAGGCTGCTGCTCATCTCCGCGCGAAAGAAGATACGGCCACGCTTGAACATCTGGGAGAGTCTCAGCCATGAGCGGCTCATCATAAGAGACCACATCTTGCGACGCGTCATGGCTCCTTATTCGCGTAGACATGAAGCATAACCACGACAACGACGCGAAACTGCCCTGGGGCAGAAACTAGCACAAAAAAATGATGTGAAACAACACGCCGAGTTGCTGGTCTGAAAACATCCAAGCACGCTCGAGGCTACCCAAGTGAACATCCCAGCACCTGAGCCACGCCTGATCCTGCGTCTGAAACGCACGCAGATGCGGCTCAACAAGAACTGCGGCTTGAAGTAGTCTTACCGGGGCAGGCTGTTCAAGCTGAGGATGGGTGTGTGCTTCCACAGAAACTCTCAGAATATGTCCAATGAATTCATCTGCTCTCCAGCGATCCAGATCCCTGGCAAGCTGCGCCGACGCTGAATCAGAGCCACCTTCAGCATCACTGCTGCTTGGACAGGCCGGAAGCATAGTGAGCCTGGTCGTATTCTAGAACAGCCGCTAGCTGACCATAGCCTAATCTTGTTTGTTA